GATGAGTTACATCATTATACATATATTTTTTGTTTAAATCATTGTATAGCAAATAATCATGCAGTTTCATACATCTTTTGACACAAACATATGTTTTTGTTTTGTTGTTGTTGTTACTTTCTTAGTTATAAAAATCCTTAATTTTAAGATTCATTTACACAGCATATTTTATTTGCTCTTTGTTTCTTGCTTGGCACCACAGACGGGTTTTCATTGCAAATTGTTATAGTTTTTTATTATTTCTATTATTATAAAATAGATATGAACTTAAATTTTCTTTGCTAAATTGACTTACAAAAATTCGTATTGGGGCTGGAGAGAAAACTTATCAGTTAAGATCACTGGCTGAGATGGCAGAGGCCATGGGTTTAGTTCCCAGTACGCATATGGCGGTTAACAAACACTTCCTAACTCCAGCTCCCAGTGATCCTTTGCCCTCTTCTGACCTCCAGGGGCAATGCATGACATGGGTGAACTTTCACAAATGCAGGCAAAACAGTCCTAGACATAAAGCCAAAATAATACATAATTTTTTAAAATTAGATTTAAAATTCAGAGTAATTCTGAACTGTTCTCAAAACACCTTTATATTTCACTTGGAGATCTGAAGAATTCTACCACTAGGTGTGAAACTGTTTTCCAAGTGTAAGTAATCATTGGAAGTTAAAAGCTTGCATATAGGCTAGGGGATCAAAAATTGATCAAAATATAGCATGAGAAACTCAGAAAAATTCTATTGAAAAAGGGGAAAAATACCCTTTAAGGTCAGAAAGTTTTCATTTGTATATATTGCTGAGCTAGAACTCGGCACAATACTAAGGCAAGCTGGTCATCTTTTTTTTTTTTTTTTAAATGAATTTGAAATTAGTTCTCATATTACTGTACATTTGTAAGTTATTGATTACCACAGTTGATGAAGGAAGATTGCTGTCAAATCTCAGTCAAAAAAATTAATATCAATAATTGGAACTATCAGAAAAATCAAGATCCTATTTTCCCAATGATAAGAAAGTACATAAAGTTGAGCTGTTCCTTGCTTCAGATTGATAGAACTGGTAGTGGAAGCACTGAAGACTAACACAAACGCTTCAAACAACGTAAGTGATGCTGCAGCAGCCGTTCTGAATGTTCTACATGTCCTTTCATATTGCACACATCATATGCATGCTCACTGTGGTTTATCCAAGAGGACAGTGTGCGTGTACGTATACACCATTGTTTAGGTGAAGCCCATAAGTGCCTTTTGTTTGAATTTTTTTCTTTTTTGCCATTTATTTTTCTTTTTGCGATAGTGTTTCTGTATACAGCTTAAGCAGATCTTACAATTACTATGTCCCACAAACTGGTGACTAGCTCAAATCATCTACCTCCATAAGCCTCTGAAAGACTAGGATCAGAAGCATGATTTATCATTCCCTGCTGTTTCCTGTAATTTTTCATCTAATCTGTAATGTTAGGAACTGTTCCACACTAGGGCAAATTACTTTCCCATTAGCTGGCAATGGCAGTAGTTACAGTAACCTGCACTAGTCTTCAGAAAATGTAAACTGTCATCTGATATTGGAAAAATATAGGCTTTAATGCTGAGGTTTAAAAAATATTAATATTGAGTATTTGTTTTGGTTTTGGTTTTGGTCTTTTTTTGAGACAGGATCCCTCTGTAGCCTCAGTTGACCTGGAACGCACTATGTAGGCCAGGATGGCCTTGAACTCACAGAGATACACCTGCTTCTGCCACCCAAGTGCTGGGACTAAAGGCGTGCGCCACCAGTCATGGGTTAACATTTCATATAATAGATCTTAATCACATTTAGAACCCTCCTCCAGCTGCACTCTCCTCCCCTTACTGGATTTCATGCATTCTGTCATGTATATTTAGCATTATTAGGTCACATTTTTGTTCCCAGATGTCCCTCGGTGCAAGTTCATCCACTGATGTCTAGTCAGCTTATCTAAAGTCGCTCCATTAAAGAAGACCTACTCTGCCTCACCCAGCAGTAATTAGTTGCCAATAGTTCTTTGGTTAGAGGTGTACCTGCTGCCTATTTCCTTGTTCTATGCTGGGTTTTTATCTGATTGAGTCGACATGGGTCTTGTGCATGTTACCGCTGTTGTTCCAAGTTCATATGAGGCTAAATTTTAGGGAACAAGAGACTGCAGAATGTGATATCTTTTAGCTTTTCAACCACGCTTGGTTTTCTAATGAATGCACTTTATCATCTTGGCAACACTGAACAATCACTGAGAACATCTTCCTTGGGATAAGAATTCAGTTAACTTGTTTAGTCTTCACATCTTTATAAGATTCTCCTTTGATAAGCTAAATAGAGAATGGCTACTTATTGTTTTAGTGATGTTTACGATGAATAAATACACATTATAGTTATTTTGACTTGCTGATTCCTTCACACTCTAAAGTATGTGATTTAGACCTTAACTGTGTTAAATACCAAGATAGTTAATTTTAAACCAGTACTCATGGCATTGTGATCCTTTAATATAAACATTTGTAATCAGTATTGTGGTGACCTTTAGTTGGTACTTTATTCCAACGTGTCACAGTACATACTGCAGAATCCATGAAAACTTACCCAAATTTAAAAGACATTATTTTCCAGCATAACTATTCCAGATCACTTAAGTCTTAATTGCATATAAAAAGCTAATTTTAAATAACTTACAAAAAGAAATATATATATTTATAATTATATATATATTACATATATATATATATATATATATAATTTGATCATTGTTGAATGCTTATGAAATGTCAACATCACAGATAGAGGATTTTTAATTTATTTTCTCTACATTAGTGTTTTTTTTATTTTAAAAATATCTTGACATATTTTAACATTACTTTTAAGTTTCTCAAAGAATTGGTTTTCAAAAAAATGTTTCTTTTTTGATGAACTTGTTTCAATAATGAGCTGGCTTTAACAAATGGTCCATTATTTTGGTACTGATGTGATTATTTTTTGCATATGCTAGCAAAAGACAGATGACAAAAATTACAGGAAAAATGCTTATTCATTCAAGATGAAAATTTCATTCAGCTAAGAACAGGGATTGATTAACTCACTGTGGATGATAGTCCATTAAAATTTTAAATTAAATGATTGATGTATGAATATTTACACAAAATGTTAAACCTTTCCCCAAACATATCATTAAGGGAAAGAAGACACCTAAAAACAAAGTGATTAATTTTGCATGTTTTTTAGTAGTCAATGCAAGGTGCCAATTTTTAAGAAAAGCTATTAGATAAGAGCTAATTTGAGATCATTAGAATGATCTCAAATTCAAAATGTTTATAAAATGTGAGCATGTCATTGAGATCGACAGGAAAAAATTCAAACACATTTCGTTAAGATTTTCTTGGTTAAAAAAAATTAACTCACATGATATGAAAGAGAAAATCAAGGAAATTTGAATGTGCCACAAGGGAAATGGACTCTGCTTGTATGGAAGATAAAATTTGAACATGTACTGATCACTGAGTAGTCAAATGTAAAGAGGACAAAATAATGGATATGTACAGTCACAATGGCTATGCAAACACTTAAAATAAGAAATAAAATGATGGAGTTGTAATTTCTAGGGATTCTATGTATCTGGCATGTCATTAAATTCTTTAAAAATAAACAATATTTCTTAGACAAAGTATATTTAAATTCACTAAGAACACTTAACACTGTTCTCTTTTATTACTTCAAGAAATCTATAGCACTTATCCACAATAACTAAGTTTCCACACCTCACCTAAAACTAAATTTCTACTTTGAATGGTTCCTTATATGTTCACAAAATAGTATACATGTATCATAGCCTTCTAAACATATTTTATCTAAAATAAATTTCATTGTATGAATTTAAACTAAATTTAAAGTTCTTCTAGTGTGCACATACTAAATTTGATACTAAATGACAAGCTAGTTCTAAACCAAACTAAAAATTATTAATAGTTAACATGAAATAATGAATTTTAATTACACGGCAGAAATTATCAAAATGTAATTGCTTTTATGTAGACAAAGAGTTTTGAACGTTTTCTTTCTGAGGGCTCTTTAGACTTTACGTAGGTGAAAATATGCAGCACCCCTCCTCCTTACTTCAGAGGGGATGCAGCAAGCTCTCCCAGACAATGAGAAATATCACTAAAGTGAGTGGTCCCTTTAATCTAATGGACTTTATTTCCTGGTTCTTTCCATTGTGCCCTGATTGCATTGTAGACCCAATTTGACATATCCTTTTGATTTGATCCATTCCAATAGCTAACAAGCGTGATATTTCATCATTTGTTCAGAAGAGTGGCATTTTAGAACATCAGACTGGAAAACTGAAAATTTCATATAATACTAACCTAAGAATTTGTGGAAACACAGGACTGTTGTCATTTTCCAATAAATTGTTTTTGCCTAGATGTCAAGTTGTGCATGGCAGTGGCTTTGCCCCTGTGTTACACTTATGATGGGGACAAGGGAGGTTTCTGTCATTTGTAGTTTCCTGTCTTGAAAGAACTGATTCTCGCGAATGGACTTCATGTATCCTTTGATGGCCAGCAAAGTCCTTGACTCCATATGTGGTCCTGGGCACCAGGGCCTCCACTTGGACTTTCCCACACTCAGGACCCAAGATTTGGCATCATATTTTATTACTCTTCTACAGACCCAGTATGCCTTCACCTGTGCCCTTCAGAAAATGTAAAGCACTTAATTGAACTTGGA